ACCATTCTTCACAGAGGGAACTTTGAGAGGAGATCGATTGAGGGAACGATGGAGATCGTGGAAGCAGACCAAGCAACGATTGAGGGATCGATTCTTCATAGAGGGAACTTTGAGGGAGCCCTAACGGTTAAAATGGAATAAATGGGTTTTTGTTTGAGAGGGTTAAAATGGTAATTTATTATCATTCAGAGAACAGTTACCAAACAACATTATTTCATTCAGCACTTAACCATTCTAACCCTCTCAACCATTCTGACCTCTTAACTATTCTGCACTAAATCATTCAGCAACTGCCAAACAGCCCCTAAGCTAGTACCTAGCTATAAAACTAATGAACTGCATCTATTATAGAAAATATAAAAATCTTCATGAGTAGGTGAGAAAGAAATTATGAGTTGAAGTTCGTAGCGTACTTTTTCTTTGAGTTGTCAAAAGGGGGATGCAACCACAACCTCGAAGGTATTTCCACTTAGAGGGTGCTGCTATACCGTTCAAGCCAAGCACTTGGTATAGCAGTAGCATACATGGTACAACAAATGACTTTGATCGCATAGGTTGTTCATATATGTGTGCGAGTATATAATTAATATATGTGTATATTTATAAAGTTGTGTGTCCATATGCCTATTACGAAACTGATTTTGGCATGTATTCCTTCTATTTGTTCATTACAGCCTCGTATTCTCATCATGTGCTCTCTCTCTGTGCAGGTTAATGGTGTAGCACAGTTGCACAGTGACATCTTAAAGGCTGAGTTGTTTGCAGATTATGTCTCTGTATGGCCAACTAAGTTCCAAAATAAGACCAATGGCATAACTCCTAGACGGTGGCTCCGATTTTGCAGTCCTGAACTGAGTGAAATCATAACAAAATGGTTGAAAACGGACAAGTGGGTGACTAACCTTGACCTGCTCGTGGGTCTGCGGCAGGTATGTTTTCTGCTATTCTATCTGTTATTAGATATTTTCTGCTCGCAACAATATGAATAATGATCCTCTCTCTCCAAAGTTCGCTGACAATCCAGAACTGCAAGCTGAATGGGACTTGGCTAAAATGGCCAACAAGAAGAGATTAGCGCAGTACGTATTGCGAGTAACAGGCGAAAGCATTGACCCAAATACCCTCTTCGACATTCAAGTGAAGCGCATCCATGAGTATAAAAGACAGCTGCTAAATATTTTGGGTGCTGTTTATAGGTATAAGAAACTGAAGGTGCGTTATCCCACTTCTGGTAAATAAATGGATACTCTTAGGAAAAGGTTGTGGAACACTCGTCTTAGTTGTAGAATAAAGCAAGTTCTTTGTAGCCATAGATAAACCCAGCTTCAAAATGTTTGAAACTATTAATAGTTGATGCATATATGCCATTTGATACCCTGAAAGCCACCTTTTTGTGCCACGGGTTATGGAGCTTACTGATCTGTTGCAACTCTTTTGTTTGTCATGCAACTGTTTCCAAACAGGAAATGAGCCCTGAAGAGCGGAGAAGCACGACACCAAGGACCATCATGATTGGAGGGAAAGCGTTTGCAACATACACAAATGCCAAAAGAATAGTAAAACTTGTGAATGATGTTGGTGCTGTTGTTAACACTGATCCCGAGGTTAATGAATACTTGAAGGTAAATGGATTACAATTATTTGATTGGTTTCATTTAAAACAAATCTATTTGTTACAATTTGGACTAATTTTGGCTATTATATGATTAATTTTCAGGTAGTTTTTGTGCCTAATTACAACGTATCTGTAGCAGAGGTTCTTATACCAGGAAGTGAGCTGTCGCAACATATCAGCACAGCAGGCATGGAAGCTAGTGGCACAAGCAACATGAAGTTTGCGCTTAATGGATGCCTCATCATAGGAACATTAGATGGAGCTAATGTCGAAATAAGAGAGGAAGTTGGAAAGGAGAACTTTTTCCTCTTTGGAGCAACAGCAGATGAAGTCCCTCAGCTCAGGAAAGACCGAGAGAATGGACTGGTGAGAATACTCGTCACTTTTTATAAGAAGGAAGGTTAGAATATGAAATTTCATGTTCTATATGTTTTGTGGATGTGTAGTTCAAACCGGATCCTCGATATGAAGAGGCTAAAGAATTTATTAGATCAAAGGCATTTGGAAGCTATGATTACAACCCACTTCTTGATTCTCTGGAAGGGAACTCTGGGTATGGGCGTGGTGATTACTTTCTCGTTGGTCATGACTTCCCAACCTACATAGACACCCAAGCACAAGTGGACGAAGCATACAAGTAAGATATTTCAAACCTTTTTATGTTTATAAAACAGAAATCTGGGATGTGTGTATTCATGTTTCTCTCATGTGATGGCTTATTCACAACTCGATACATCTGATATTTGATCTGGAACATACAAACACTGTATGCATACAAGTTATACCGTTCCAAAATCCTGTCCTAATCAAATCTCAGATAGGCGTTAGCATAATAGAGGGATGTTCAAATGAGAACCTGGAACCAACTAGTTCATGTAATGTATTATTCATAATGAATAATCATGGATATTCATCACATGCATCTTCATGAATAGCATAATGATACTCATTTGCCAATTTCTTTCCCATTTATCCATTTGGTTTCAGTTAGGAAAGAGTTAATTGAAAGACAATTTACGATTACAGGGACAGAAAGAGATGGATAAAGATGTCGATATTAAGCACGGCGGGAAGTGGGAAGTTCAGCAGTGATCGAACAATCTCTCAGTATGCAAAGGAGATATGGAAGATAGAGGAGTGCCCTGTGCCATAATTCCATACCTCTTACTACCAGAAAGAAACAAGAGTGGATATATAATAAGTAACAATAATAAGTTTGATGCTTTTACTTTTCCTCCTCAAAAGTATATTCATGTATCTTTATTATGTAAATCAAGCAATTGGTAATATAAATATGTATAAGACCCAATTTGTTGGCATTTATACTTCTCTTCATCTTTTTCTTCTAAATATATAGTATACATTTGACCATCTTGTCTCGTAGACGGACTCATCCGATCGATGAGGTTTGCCCCACCATCTCGATGGTATAAGGATGGGCTCTCCACTAAAATTTTTTGACGTCTTCGACAAGCTTTCCATGATTCTCTAGCAATGTCCCAAAGCCTAAAACAACGTGTCGATCCAGTAACTTCATATTCAACTTAAAATCATGATAGAAGTTGTTGATATCCCATAACTTTTACAAGAAGCTTACAAATTCATTAAAATTTAAACTAGTATGAGAGTATAATCCACAAACAAGGGTTGATAGCATCAGAGATTTTGAAATATGAGAAATATTTTAGTTATTTGAAAATAAATATTGTTAGTTTTTTAATTAAATTACACAGACAAATCAAATATTGTTAACATGTATTTATACTTACGAAGAGATGAAAATAAATATTGTAGATGAATACAAAAAGTAATTAGAAGAATTAAATCAAGAGACATTGAGGCATACATCAACGGATGTGATGTGGAGGCATAGATCAAGGGATGTGACATGAGGGCATAGATCAAGTGATATGGTATGGTGTATCATGATCACAATCTTTATCTTTATCATCCCACCATAAGATGGACGGTCGAAGATGAAGGCCGATCTTGGATACAAAAGTCTGAAGAGCAGTGCGAGGAAGTGGTTCGGTAAGAGCATCAGCAAGTTGATCTTTACTTGAAATGTGGGACACCCAAAGAGTCCCATTTTTAACACTTTCACGAACAAAGTGGTAGTCTTGGCCTAGGTGCTTCATTTTTTAATGAAATTTGGGATTAGCCACGACAAATGTGGCACCAGTGTTATCACAATAAGTGGATGGTTGAACTATGGATAAGTAGACGAGTTCGGTGAGTAGATTAAGAACCCAAAATATTTTAGCGTGGTTGATACAATAGCGTGATACTTTGCTTCAGTAGATTAGCGGGCAATGGTCCGTTGCTTTTTGGAGCTCCACAAGATTGGATTGCGGACAAGGTAAAACAACATATCCCATTCGAAATGTAATTATCCTTGTCTCTTGTCCAATCAACATTAGAAAAGGCATGAAGTCATGAAAGTGAATTATGGTGAATCAGGTGAGTTCAGTGAGCAGATTTAGAACCCACAGAACTTCAAATGTGGTTGATGCAATAGCGCAATACTCTCCTTCAGTAGATGAGCGAGTAACGACTCATTTCTTTTTGGAGCTCCACGAGATTGGATTTGCGGCCAAGGTAGATACCTTATCTGATTGTACCTGCTAGATATCGTAAGCGACATTTAAGATCCACCATGCGTTCATCGAATGGGAGAATGCATGTATTATAACAACATGTTAAGACTAAAAGCAACATCAGGACGAGTTAATATAAATATGGAAGCTTTCAACAAAAAGGTATAATATTCAGTTGGGTTGACAAGAGGTGATCCAGAGTTAAGACAGATGAGTGGAGATGTATAAAGGTTGGCATTGGTTTGGATTCATCCATGTGAGTCTTTTTTAGAATATCAAGAGTGTATTTTTGTTGGTTAAGGAAGAGACCACAAGGGCGAGGAATGACTTCAACACCCAGAAAATGGGAGAGGTTTCCAAGGTCTTTAAGAAATAATCGAGCAGAGAATTGAGATATAAAAGTGTCAATGAGTTTTCTGTTGGAACCAGTGACAATGATATATCAACCTAGACAAGGGGATAGATACTTTTTGAGTTCCGTGTACCATGCCCGAGGGCCTTATTTCAATTTATAGAGAGCTTTTTGGAGCTTTCAAACATGATTGGGGTGACTTTTGTCAATGAATCCAGGAGGTTGGGTCATATACACATCTTCGATAAGTCATATACACATCTTCGATATAAAAAAGTTGGGTAAGTTCTCATTAATATCAAGAGAAAACCGTGAGATGAAGATTATGTTACAAGCAAAAAGAGTGAGAGGGTGTGAGAAGAGATGTGAAACCAATGTTTGCTAATGGGAAGTCCGAAGCCATCACCAATGACTAGTTTGTCGCCGCCATCATAAGGAGCATGTAAGGAAAACGTCTCTAGAATGTTGGTAACTTGCTGGGAAACACCGATATCAAGTAACCACCCAGAGGTTGAGAAAGAGGCACTCACAGTATAGGCTCTAGGATTGTTGGGATCCATACGATTAGGGATGAATAATTGATCACCGGAGGCCATTGGAATAAGATGAAGAAGGGTTGTGTGATTGGAAGAAAGAAATTAGGAAAACTGATCGATTAGAGATCTGATAAATGATACCGTTTAGAAACTGATGGAAAATATCTTGTCTATTACAACATTGTTAACATGTATTTACACTTACAAAGAAATGAAAACAAATATTCTATATGATCACAAAAGTAAATACACGAATCAAACCAAAGGATATCGAGTCATTTAACAACGATTCGATACGTAGATCAAAGGATATCATATTGGAGTATAAATCAAGTGATATGATATGGTGTATCATGATATTATCTATTTATCTTTACCAATTAATGCGTGATACTTTAAGATTTAAATTTACGATTTACTATTGTATACATATGTAACAACCCCAAATCCATACATTGCATATAACACATATTTCATACATAGAATACATGTTTTCCTCACAAAGGTCCATAATACAAGAGTCTATAACGTGAAATACATAACTCAAAAATTCAAAAAGTAAATGCTCTTGTATCCTAGCATCTATGCTCCAAAAACATAGCTAATTAAGAT